AAAAAAAAAAAGCCCAGCCGGGCGTGGCTCAGCAGTTAAGCGTCGACCTAGGATCCAGGTGATCAGGGTTCAATTAGATCAGAGTTCAATTACCAGTCAGGGCACATGCCCAGGTTGCAGGCTCGATCCCCAGCGGGGAGGGGGGGGGGCAGCTAATCAATGACTCTCTCATCATTGGTGTTTCTATCTCTCTCCCTCTCCTTTCCTCTCTCTGAAATCAATAAAGATATATTTAATAAATAAAATAAAAAAAGATACCAGGCAACCAAACACTTAAGTTTAAACACACAGTACAGTAATACCTCTATTAACAAAGACATCGTGACAATGACAGGTTTCCTTGGTGGGCCTTCATTGGGGCAAAATATAAAAGGCACAGGACTGCATTTCAGAAGGTCACGAGGTGCAGAATGAAGCTCAAGTCCATCAATCAACTGATGTTACCTAAACCAACATTAGATTCGTCAGATGTAGAAGACACACCTGAGCATCTTAGGGGTCGGTGAAAGGGTCATAGTCAAGATGTGTGAAGAGAGGGAAAGTCTGGACAAGGTGATGGAGAAGAAAGAACGGAGGAAGGTTCCCTGGGTGGAAGGCTCTTCCACAAAGAGCAGTGCTGGGGCAGAACATACGCCCAACCCTTTATCATGACAAACTAAAAGGAACCATCACACCCTTTCTGACTTAAAGAGGAAGAGTGAAGACGTACAGACACGTGTGGTACCCCTGCCGGAGTTAAAATGCAGAGGAGGACAACAGAAGTGTGCTAGAAAGGGTGCAGAAAGGAAAGTTTCAAGCAGTTCAATCAAAGCCAAACCTTGCCACATGCACACTTTTGCCCGGAAGGCGAGGCTCCATTTACCCTCGGGTGTGTGTGAACCAGAGGGCCAAGACCATGTTCAAGGATTCAAACAGGTCAACTCTACTGCAAACGAGTTCGGTTCCCAGAGGATCTTCTGTTAATCGAGGTATCACTGAATGGCCCCGAACACGATATGCACAGACCCCTCAAAATGCTGTGTGGTTAGTAAGTGAATGAGCTTTACTTGCACGGTAAGTGAACGGGATACTGACCGAAAACCAACTCTCCGCGTGTAGTGCAGACAGTTCTTGGTGACGTGGGTCTGGAAGTGCACCGACCTGCAGATGGCCCCGCACTCGGGGCAGGTGTAGGGAGATTTGTGCTGATGGATTCTCTGGTGGGATGCATAGCTGCACTGGTTGGGAAGCAGCATCTGGCAGATAGTGCAAGTCTTCTAAATAAACCAAAGGGGGAGACAGGGTTGGTCCTACGAAGTACTTTCTAACACGCAAAGAAGCTTGGTTAAACCTCAAAATCACTACACAGCGGTCATTTCAAATATGACGACAATTGATTCTAAGCCCAAGGAAAAAGCAAATTTGAAAATTACATGTTCAATGGAAAACTCCTTACCCTGACCATGTAAAATAAAAATATGTACTAAGGAGGCAGACTCATCCCAAAGTATGCTACGTTTGCATTTTGCTAAGTGTAAAGAGGAGGCATCCGAGAGGTATTCTTGCAGATTATGTAAGCAAATCAGCATCAATGTATAAATACAGGTTTATGGCCATCTATCTTGACAGTAGTCACAGTTCCCACAACTCAAAAACTGTTCTTCAAAACAGAAATGAATTAGAGTTTAATCAAGTTTCTATTTAAGTCACTTCAGTTGTTTGAAATCTGAAAGACAGCAATGTAAACAAATGGCTACAGCCATTAGCTGCTCTTTTTTGCACATGAATTGATCTTTAAATGGATGAGCTGGACATTACATGATTTATAATTTAAATCAATGAAGTGAAGTTCAGATACTTAAATTTAGATATTATATTGAAACTTTATATAGAGCTTAAAATCTAATCACATATAAAATAAAAGACTGAAATCCTCTCTGGAAAAGGCCCTACATCATAAAGTAACCAGGAAAAACTGAAACACACTATTTTTCATCCCTCAGATGTTAGCACTGAACATAGCATATTTTAAAAACTTAAAGTAAATATAAACTGAGGGCTTACTACTTCCATTCCAAAAATAAATCTAACACAGCACAAGATAAAATGTGTTTGTGAATACTATTTGGATCTTCATGCAATGCGTGTCTACTGTCTTCTAAAATGTACAGTTTGCATTAAAGTCTGTTTTTAAAAAGCCTCAAAATATACACTCTAGCTAAGATTTAAAATGATCTTCTACACTGAAAACAGAATTATAACATTTTTAAAGATTTTTCATGCTTTTAGTTTTTGAGTCAAGCCCAAAAATTAAGGTTTAAACTTCGGAACGACTTAGACTAAGAAAAATCAGAAACTCACTTGAAAATTCTTTCTTGTTTTTCTCCTGAAAGAACTAAAGTACAAATTTTATCCCACAAAATGTTTATTATAATCACAGAATAGGAACATTACAGGCAGCTTTGAAGAAGTTAGCATCGTTAAAAAATAGCATTCCTTTTCTAATAACAATATTCCAAAGGTTCAGACAAGCCACAAGAAAGAAAACCAATCAACAGATTCGTTAATTAATTATTAAGATCCTGCTGACATCTATCTTATCACAGGTAATCATTTGTTTCTCTGAACTAAGGTTTTCTATTTTCACCACAATCATTAATCCCAGGCAGTGAATTATAATGTCTGAATTTCCACAGGCATCTTAGAATATCTTGCACTTACTTAGGAATAAATCAATATATTCTATACTAAAGTCAAACATTTTATTTAGATAGGTAGGTGTAGGTAGATGGATAGATACTGACCCCATTCCACCATAAGCCAAAAACTAAGTACTTTATATAAATACATTTAAATACAACATCTCATTTAATTCTCATAATAACCTATGAAGTAGATAATATTATGCCCATTTACAGATGAGGAAATGGGGTTTGGAGAAGCTAAGGAACTACCATGGCCCCACAATTAGTAAGTGTAAGAACCAGGATTTGAACTGGACTCTAACTCTACTTCCAAGGCCTGAGACAGAGTGCTCGTGAAGGGGTGTCATGGGGTTACAAGGAATGCACAACACACTGGAGAAGAACTGTTAGCAACTACCTCTGAACACCAACAATGACCATTACGTTGGGATTATAGGGGGTCCCCCTCCCTCCACAGCTTCTCTTTCATCAAAAGCAATGTGGTTATACTGGATTTATAACAGGGAAAAACAGCAACAAAAAGAAAAAAATCTGCAAAGGAGACAAAGATGTGTTCCGTAGGGGCTGAAAAACTTTTCACATTACCTCTCATCAAAATATGCATGTCCTTCACAACACACGTAAACCCACACTGAATTGCTTAAATGCTCTTCCCTATTGGGCATTTATGATACATATATAACTATATAAACAGTTACAGATGTGCTGGTGGGTGAAAAGGCTTTGTTGCTAGCAGGTTAACAATAAAGTATCAAAATTATTCAATTCAAAATCGGTTTTATAAGTTATTAAGTGTTGAAACCTGTATGTAACTGCCAAGACTGAAAAATGTTGGTAGTAATGGGGTCACCTAATCACCAGCCTTTCGACACCAACCTTTCTCACACCAGCCTTGGAGAGGGAAGCGTTCCCTTCCTGACGGGCTGTGTGCAGGGTGGTCCCCCAGGCCCCATGGGGCTCTGTGAGGGCGGGTCGCAGCCGTGACCCAACACCACCCCCACCACTGACCGGCAACGTACACTCTCCACATCTACCGGACGAGGCCCCTCATCCACTTTAGATGCAGAAGTACCAGGAGAAAGTGGGAGCCAGTGTGCACGTCAGCCCCAAACCAAGAAGCTTTCACATTCTGCTGTGACTGAACCGGGAGCATTCAGTCCCTGGGAAGCGCGCTGAATGAAGACCTCAGGTTCCATGTATATGTACAGATGTGTACACACACCCATGTACACACTGTATTCACTCCCACGTTTCTCTGTTTAACTGCTTCCACTCCTCACCTCCATTCCGTCTGAGAGAAAGCATGCTGTTTGGGTTGCAGACATTTCTTCTTGACGCTTGGCATGACATCAATAGTTTTAGACCCACACGAATACAGTTTACCTAACTGTACGTCCTCGAATTTCAGTCACTGTATCTGTTCAGATAATGCTGTTATCCCTGCTCCGGAGAGAGTGGTGATGCAAAAGCCTGTGTCCATTAGATTCTCTGGGCTCCTTTGCATTCACGGCCATGACCCCCTTCTCTGGATTTGGGGACAGACTTGAGCAGAGAAGCAGGCCAGGATTTCTGTGGTCTAAAATAACATGACTTACCTTCCTTTTTAAAAAAAAAAAAAAAAAAAAAAATCAAAGAAACTACAATATATCTTAAAACTCTAACTCTCTACAAGTTGAGCTTTTTACAAGATAAAGCAATTTAATGGGATAGTACCTGCCTTTTGAATAGAAAAAGTACTTAAATGGATTCAAGTGTCTTCTGGCATTTCATTTACATCATCTAAAAATGGATAAATGTTTTCAGTATTTAAGTAATAAATGGTGAGTTTCTTCTCTGGAGGAGACTCATTTGCTCAGAGAACTGCTACTTTTTCAAGAAAGAGAGTACTTTTCAAAAGTGAGGAAACACAGGCAAACAGCTGAAAAGTGATCATGATCCACACTTGACAACTACTCGTATTGCACCTTCTCTCCCTCCCTGGCACTAAAGTCAATGGCTGCCACTGCCATGTGGGCTATGCGTCAGGGGAAGGGGCACCCCACGGCCTTGTTAAGGGTTCAGGGATGTCTGAGTAACAAGAAAAACAATTCTATGTGTTTCAACTCTTATTTCAGGGAGAAAAAGAGCGTGGGAAAGGTACTGGGGGGAAGGTGATAAAGGCTAGAGATAAGTGAGTTCATATAGCACATATTTATGTGCAAATTCCAGAGACCAAAGGCCTGAGACAGCCTGAGACGGTGGATCTAAAGGTCAAACTCCTCAGCTTCACAGTCAGCTCAGCTGCAAACTGTTTCTGCCTCATTAACAGCAGCTCCGTATTCTTGTGTCTACAATATAATTACAAAAATAATAATAATAAACTATGCCGCTTTGTTTCCTGGCTTTCACTTTCCTAGGATGTCACAATGAGAACATGGAGCATTTTACTCAGGTCTCAACTGGAAATAAGAATTACAGCAGAAATGAGTCTATATATCTTGGTTCCCAAAGCTAGCTGGCTGTGGTGGCTTTTTCCTCAAATCATTCTGCTACAGCGAAAATCCCTAATAGGAGTTGACAGTTAAATGAACAAATTTCCAGAAAACAATATGGTCAACACATATAATCTATTCAGATGATAATCAGTGGAGAACAGTTAAATTAAAGGTTGGTAACATAAACTGGGACAGGCCTAGTCTGACCAAAATTAAAATGAAGCATTTTGGAGAGCAGGGCCAAAAACTGAAAGACATGAGTCTTCAGCTAATAATGGTATCTCGGGCAGGCGAGGGAACTGAGGTGGGCACCATGGTTTCCAGAAGCTGCCTGAGCAGTGTGTCTAGAAACGAGAGCTGGCTGGGCTGCTCAAGATAATTTAATGCACTTAGTATATTGTGTTAATGATGCCCAGAAAGTTCCTGAAGCTAAACTGAATCAGCAATCCTGAAAATGGGCACCAGGACAGGTAAGTCACCTTCATCTGCACTCCTGCAGCTGATCTGGATGTCGTAACCGAAGAACCAATTCTTGAACACTTCCCATGGTCCCACAACAGTACAATGCTCGTCTATATCGCAGGTTATCAGCATGACCAAGGGGATGGAATGAACCAGCAATAAAGAAATCCTGCCTTGAGTCCTGACTGTGCCACTCACTGGGGCTCTGTGTCTTCAATTGTGAAACAAAAGGGCCGACCAAAGGACCTGTAACACCTGATTCTATGGCTGATGCAGATTCTACAGGACAAAACTGATTTTGCCAATTTCTTAGAGATCACAGTGTGCACTTTCAGTCTGTACTTGGCTAAATTTAGTCATGATTTCACGGCGAAGTGAAGCGATGACATTCCAGTATGTTTAAACATCAATTATTAAAACTAAAGTTGTCAGCTCTTCAATACTTCATGGAGAGGAGGAAAGCTTCTCTCACCCCTCCACCCACTCCTTTTCTCAATGTGACCCAAAGCAGGGGTTATTAATCAGACGGGTCTGCATACAAACCCCCAACCAGGGCAGATCACCTGGGGTTAGAAGTCCAGTACCCATGTGCTCCACTTTTATTGTACCACTTGGTCCCATTCAGCGGGGAGAAGTGATCCCCCGATGACGTCCCGCCATCCCGCCCACTCCCTCAGCTGCCTGCTCCCCGGCGGGTAAGCAGGTGCAGGCAGGGCAGTCCAACCCAGACCTAAGCATGCCTGGAGTACTGTTCCCTATCCTGTACCAGAGTGTGACGGAATTCTATGACCTGGATTCTGGCTCAGCCAAACCACATATTCCAACCCAGCTCTAACAGACACCTGCACCAGAGGGCTTGCTGAGCACAGGGCCAGGTAATAACAGAGTGGCACTGACTCTGTAAGGCAATCATTATTTGCACAGAAGTCTGTAAGAGTAGGAGCTGCTGGAAGGCGGAATTCAGCAAATGCCACCAAAGCCTTCCTCTATCCTGTTACATACTGGCAAAGTCTCACAAGGCTAACCACGCAGGATGGGGGATGGGGGAGGAGCCCTGGCACACACGGTTGCAGTTGGTGATACGAGAAGAGATCCTTTGCTGGATTCAAACACGCACCCTTGGAAAACTCAGAAAAGGATCCGATCAAACATAAACAGGAGTCCAAATATAAATGAGCAGAAAATGAAGATACAAAGTGAAGGAAGGCAGTGACTGCACTAAACCAAGAAAAGGCTGTTCGCCACAGAGAGGCTGAGGTCTCCAGAGGCTGGCCTCCACAGGTGGGAGTGGGGGGAAAGCTTGACCTCAATCCTTTCACAGACGGGGCTAAGAAAAAGGGGGTGTGCACTGAGCACCGAGGCTTGGAAGAGAGACGTCCAGAGAGAATGGAAGGCTGTCCTCCCAGGAAACCTGGTTCCAAAACAAATGAGCATCAGGCTGAAGCCTCGGGCAGAGCCCAACGTAACTGCAGAATCTCCCCTTGAAAACAGCAGCTGCGTTCAGACACTTAAACAACAGAGTGGGACTTACTCCCAGGAAAATGGGCTAGAAGTCCCTTTCCCTATTCTTTCCACTAAGCACGGCTACCACTCCCGGGCATTATACATAAAGGCTAACTGGGGACCTCGGGGACAAGGATGATAGCACAGAAGCCTTCCGAAATGAAAACTACAAAATGACAAAAGAAATCAAGGAAGATCTAAGTAAAGAAGAAACATTCTGTTCGTGGACTGAAAGACTCAACGTAAGTAAAGATACCAATTCTCCCCAAACCGATACACAGGTTTAACTTAATTCCTATCAAAACCCCAACAAGAGTTTTTATACATATTGAAAAGACTATTCTAAAATTTATATAGAAAGGCAAAAAAACTAGAATACTTAAAAAATTTTGAGAGAAAAGAATAAAGCTAGAGGAATCAGTCTACTGGATTTCAAGACATTTTATAGTTATAATTAAGACAGTGTTATTAGTGAAGAGATAGACACATAAATCAATGGTACAGGATAACCCAGAAATAGGTGACACACAAATATGTCCAACTCATATTTGATAAGGTACAAAAGCAATTCGATGGAGGACAGGTGGCCTTTTGGACAAATGGTACTGAAAGAAGAGAACACACATGGGCAAAAATAAATAAATAAATAAATAAACCTAAACCTGACGAGGTCTCACACCTTATATGAAAATTAACCCCCAACGGATCACGGGCTTAAATGTAAAGCATAAAACTACAAAACCTTCAGAAAAACACACAGGAGAAAAATTTCAGGATCTAGAACAAAGAGTTCTTAGATTTGAATCACATATCCAACAAAGGACTGGACTAGTATCTAGAACATATCACGAATTCTTAAAACTCAACAGTGGGGGGGAAAATCTAATCAGAAAAGGGCAAAAGACATGAAGAGACATGTCACCAAAAAGATATACAGGTGGCAAATAAAGATGAAAAGATGTCCAAAATCATCAGTGATGGGGTACCTGCTGCACACTAAAATCACAAAGAGCTATCACTATAAAAAATACCACCACCAAATGCTGACGAAGATGCAGAGAAACCAGGCCACTCATAAATTGCTTGTGGAATATAAAATGGTGCAGCCACTCTGGAAAAGAGTTTTTTAAAAATATAAACATGCAACTACTATATCACCCAGGCATTGCACACTTGGGCATTTATCCCAGCAAAATGAAAACCTGTGCTCACACAAAAGCCTATGTTTATGCCAGCTTTATTCATAATAGCCCTAAACTAGAAACAATGAAACCACCCATCCCTCAATGACTGAATGGTTAAACAACCTGTGGTACAACCATACGATGGAATATGACTCAGCAATGAAAAGGAACAAACTATTGATACACGCAACAACCTGGATGAATCTCCAGGGAATGATGCTGAGTGAGAGAGTCAATCTCAAAAGGTTATAAATGGTATGGCTCCATTTATATGGCATTCCTGAAGTGACAAAATTAGAAATGGAGAACAGATTAGTGGTTGTCATGGCTTTAAAAGGGGTGGGGTGGCTCCAAAGAGATGAGAGATCCTTGTGGTTATGGAAATACTCTGTATATTGACTGAGTATCGATGTGAACATCCTGGTTATGATATTATTCTATATTTTGCAAGATGTTACCATTGGGGGAAAGTGTATAAAAGGTATACAGGATCTCTCTGTATTATTTCTTACATGAATCTAAAATTATTTCAAAATAAAAGATTTGATTCATTTGAGATTTAACAATCCCTCAAAAAATTGAATGATTTGAGAAGGAAGACCCAGAACATTAGCACAGGACACTTCGGCATTATCAGGTAAGATTTTAAAATCACAGGGGCACTTCTAAGTAGACGCTGGGCAGGAGGGGGGAGAGGGATATCCCTGCTGCCAGTCAAGCAGCACACCTTTCTCTGGGCCTGGTGAAGTCAAAAGGTGAAAGGCAGTGAGCAAGGCGTGGTGGACCCGTTAGTCTCACCAGGGCCCTGAGGTCACACACTTGAACCTTCAGAATCAACAGAGGCAGCAGGGTCAGTTCAGGAATCTGGGTGGATGATTCTCAAACTAAGACCACAGTGCAGATCTGGGGAACCCTGCCCTGGGAAACCTCAGGGAAGCCAGAAGAGAAACGGGCAGCTACAGGCACAGCTCTTAAACTGCCCTGGGGTCCTGTTCTAGAAAGGATGGCCAGGGTGTGAGCCATGGAGTGTTGTTACAAATGTGAGGTACTCTACTCTTTCTCAGTTTACCAGTGAGCAACCAAGAAGGTGAAGGTCAAAGGAGAACCAGAAGTAAGTTTTAAATACACGAATGTCTTGGACAACAGAGAAAAGAAGGCGCTCAGGAAAGACTGGTACTTGAGGTGCCATTAGTTCAAACTCTAAATTTTATAAGAAGTCATAAGTGTTTTAAGAGAATAAACTGTTTATATAGGTGGATTTTTTTCCCATTTGAATTTAAGTTCACAAGTTGCAAATTGGCCAATGTCATGTGAACGGCGAACTGGAAAAGATGAGATGAATAATTTTCTCTTCTTTCTTCTGTTCTTCCTGTCTTCAACCCCACCTCCCACTGCCACCAATACCTGATGCCACACCAGGGGACACAGATAGGCGAGGACCACCCTAGCTTTCTCTACCTTTGAGGCTAGTCCAACAATAACCATACAGATCCCACCAACCTCCTGGACTGTGGAAGAGACTCAAGGTAGGGCAAAGGCAACGGAACAAACAGAACTAAAGACATAAGTGTGGCTTTGTGTTTTTTTCCTGCTTCCTTTTAAGATGGAATGAAATATCACCCTTTTGATGAAGTGGGGCAAGAGAAGAGGGCACCCATATAGAGCCCACACATTGTCACTAGGACACACTAGAAGAGCAACATCAATCGCTGCCTTCTTGAAGTTGGCCACTTGACTCTCTTGAGTGTTTTACTGTCAGAGCCAATTAGACATTTAACATCCATTGCTGCAAGAATGTTCTCAAACTCTTTATCGCATCCACTTCCACTAAACTGAAAACCCAAGAGAAAAAAATTATTGAGGTATACTTGATCATCTGTTCCCCAAATTCAAAATCCTGCAAAAATCTTAACTTAGTCATTGGCCTTGGGAAACTATCATGGGGATATTGGAGGCAAATAAAAGAAAAATCGGTTTACGGTTGAGTTTTCATAAACAGAAGTTTGAGTCAGAATATATTAGGCCGAACGACTACCGCCTTCCAGTTCTGGTTTGGATAATAAATCATACGGTCTCTCTAAGTTCAAATATGTTTCATTCAACATGTCCAGTTACTTCCAAATGACAGGTATCATGTACTTGTAAAACACATTTATCTAATAGCCAAAAACTGGCCTCGTGGAGAAGCAATGCCCATTTGAAATATACTTCACCAACATCAACCTACACTTCACTATAACAAAACAACAAAAAAGCTGCAAACAAATGCAAAAGTATCCTATTTAATAGAGGTGGGTTTTCCACTTGTAGTTAAATTCACCGCAGTAAAGAATATTACTGAATATACTTCAGGACCAAGCAGGCAAACTGTAAAACGGGTACCAACTAGGTATGTTTAACTATAAAAGACAGTAATTGTAAGTAACAGGAATTTTTTAAATACCAATATTGTCACTAATAATTAAGGAACATTGGTGATGTAGCCTGACTGAAACCCTTATTTCAATGGGATGATATACAGTAATTAGCTAGATCTCAGATTCCTTACACATATTCCAATGATCCAATATCAAGAACTCCATTACTTACCCTAAATCTTAGGTGCCATAACTCAACTAGTACATAGAGTTTCTATCTAAAAGAACTGGCTTCCCCAAAAAACATTTTTAAGTCAGATTCATGTTTCAACATTGTTCTGCTCTATGAAAACAATCCTTCCTCTCTTGTGTATGGGCACACACATGCATCCACACACATCCACTCACACCCTTCCATTTAACTGAGCTCCCATCCCTTAAAACAAGGGCATCGTTTAGAACACTCATGTCTACAGATTCATCACCGAAACACCAAAATGTAAATGATACTCTACTTGTCCACTCGTATCTGCAGCCTGCTGGAAATGTGTAGCCAGCGATGTCTCGTCCTGGAAAACTTCGTTGCACTCCAAACATTTCAGACTATGCCTGCAGAGCTTGGACGGGTCTTCGTCTAGAGGCATAGCTGGAATGATGGGTGTGCTTGAAGGAGCTGATATGACGGTCCCAGTTATACCAGACTGGATTTTGGTTACAGTGTGTGTGCCAGCCCCCACAGAGCTCGGCAGAGCAGAAGATGCAGCAGAAGTATTGCTTGACGGAGAAACAATCATTTGATCTGCTGGGACAGGCTTTAGAATCAAGTGGGAGCACTGCATTACAACCCCCTTCTCCTTATGCCCACGGGCGTGGGAGAGGAGGCTGCACTTGTTGTAGAAAACGAGGTTCTTTGTACAGTGGTTACATGTCACCTCGATGCGCACACTGCGTCTGTCGTAGTGCTGAGTCAGACTCTTTTCAAGAGCGAAGGAGTCGCCACACTCCAAGCACTTGTACCCGCGGGTCGGCAGCGTGATGCCTGCATTAGCAGGGGGACTGAGGTTGGGGATGTAAACTGGAACGGGGTTGACACTGCTGAGCACCTTGTTGAAAGCTTCCACCACAGAGCTCTGCAAGGAGGACACCACCTGGACTCGAGACACCTTTTTGGGTGGTTGCGAGGCTGCCGCATTGATTATTGCCTGCTTTATTTGCTGCTGAGGTTTGGTTAGCACTTGGCGGAGCTCAGAAGTGGCCTGGGCGCCCTGAGGCAGAAGGTTAAGGTTGGCGAGGTGCACAGTCTTTGGCACGAGTTTGGCGTTGGCCAGGCTGGATGCCGGCACCACAACGGTTTGCTGCTGGATGGCGTTGGCAGCTTTAATGATAGCACTGCTGGCACTCTGAACAGAGGCAGCAGATATGACCGTGGCTTTGACCGTCGTGTTGTTAGCGAGCTTCAAATTAATGACTTGAGATCCTGCCGTCTTCACGGCAGACACTGGGAGAAAGGCAGTTGCCACAGGCTTAATAGTAACCTGTTTGGGGGTCAGCTCTGCAGGGGCAACTGCGTTGGTGACAACAGCAGACTGCAGAGGCGCTCTGGGGGGAGAGGAAAGGACGGCAGCTGTAGTTGAAGATGACAGAAGTGAAGTCACAGAAGCCATCACAGGCCCCGTCTGCTCAGAGGGCTTTTTTCCAGAGTCAAGATCGACTTCTGGCAATACCCTTGTCACTGTTCTCTTTATTTCCCCAGACGACGTCTTAATGGTTTTGATGCGGACTTTGGGAATTGCTGGTGTCGATCCTGCAGGGGATGACGGAGATCCCTTGCTACTGTTTTCACTTGAAATGCTCCTGGGGCTATCCGGCTGCTTTAGGGACACCTTCTTTGTCCCATCGATGAGGCTCTGGGACTCAGGAGACTTTTCAATGGCTCTGGGACTATCATTGACTTCTTTTGGTAATGGAGAGGGTTCCCGTGAATTCGTCACTGGTTCTTTACAGGAGTCTGAAGCAGCCTTTTTAGCACTAAGAGCTGCAATGGCAGCTATACAGGAGGAAAGCTTGGAGGATGGCTTTGACCTTGACGGAGCCACACTGCCAAGGGCGGCGTCGTTCTTCTCGGAGCCCAGCTTCCCATCATGGACCCTATTTTCAAGCACCTTTTCAGAGTTTTCCTTCAATCTATCCTCCACTTTTCTGACTTTAAAAGGTTCATACACACTCAGATTTATAGAATTTGTTTCTGTTTCTCTCTTGACAACTTTGTTTTTATCTACACTGCCCGAAGTAGAGATTCCAGTTTTGCTTAAGTTTTCCCCTCCGAGCGCCTTCAGTTTCTCATAGTCTTGCTGGGAAACCGACCCGCTCAGCACATTGGATCGAAAGCCTGAGCGCATGTCCTCTTTATCAGGGGGGTCATCCACCTCTATCTTCTCGTCGTCATCAAACTCTTCAGCACTTGAGATAGGGCTAAACTGGCTGAAAGCCGAGTCTTTTAAAGTCACCTCTGAGGTAGGCACATCTCCTTTCAAGGACTTCGATCCGTCCTTACTGTAGCTGTCAAGAGAGGACGCTGCAAGAAACCCATTATGCAGGCCGTTGCCCGTCGGATTGTGGCCGTCTTTCTCTGCGCCCTCGGAGGAATCGATGTTCCGAACGTTCTTGACAATAACGCTGACGCCCACGTCAGAAGAGGACGGCGTGTGGGAGTCGTCATCGCCGTGAGCGCTCTGCTTGATGTGGCTTTCCTGGTCGTCGTGTCCAGATTCAATAGCTGCTTTAGGATCCACCATATCTGGGATGTCAAATGCTGCCAGGAGGTCATCAAAGTCTGGGGTCTTCATATCCCCCATGGTCATGAATTGGATCAGATGTTCTGTTAAACAAACAGAAAATAATTCCATCAGCAACTGGCATTTTGTAATGAGGAGATAAATGCTCCCCTAGCATTCACACTAACACAGTGATGAGCACCAAAAACAGCAAGTCGGTAACTACACAATTATTATAACTGCAGAATTCTGAGTCCAAGTGAGCAGACCCAGAGAATATATACAAAGCCTTGGTGATTACAGCTCCACAGGAATTCCTCTAAAATGCTGCATACGGCGTGATCGGCATGGCGCCTCTCTAGCAAGAATAAAATGGACCAAAACTGTCATTTTAAGAAAAGCAGGTTTTGGTGTAACAATCAGAAAATGTGTCATTTTATCACTGGATTCATCGCACTGTTTTCACAAAAAGCTACTTCCAAACATATTTTGATCTTGACAGCATTTATTTCCACTGGCAAAATTATCACTATTATAGTCACATCAGCTTCGGGATATCAAATTAAAAGAAAGATATTACAATCAAAAAACCAATAACAGAGAACATTCACCCACAGGACAAATTAGCATCCCAATCCACCACAGCACAGCTACTGCTAATCAAGGTCCCCCTGGGATTTTTAAAAATCCCTGAGGGGCTAATTCCACCCATTTTTATTGAATCCCAATTTTCTCTATTATGCTAGGGGAAAAAATACCATCCTGGCAGAAACATACAGCATCTCTCCCCTGTCCCTCTCTAGTGCAGTGGTTTCAGTGGTGGAGGTGACACATAGCTGTTTTCTAATCAGCACTCACCAGACACAGCCATGCAAGTGGCTGTGGCAGCTGAGAAAGACCCTGATGTGAAACGACTCTCAGTGGGTAACAACACAGACCCGAGGACTGCAGAGCCGGGAGGGGGAGGCCCTCTCTTTTACCCCAGAGTCAGATATGGGTGGACAACATTCTACAGAGAAGTGCTCCCATTCCTGTCCACAGAGCCTTGGGTGGTGGGACAATTTTAGAAAAATGGACAGTCCTGGCTGTTCCTAAAGATGAAGGATATATAAATACATGAAATGCTGGGGGTCTTTCAAGGGTGCCCTTTACCCCACCTTCAGAGGATGAGTGACTGTGGGGTTGAGATAAAACTCCCACTGTAAGAGAGATCCTTGTCCTCCCTGAACCCCCAGAGCACCCCATCTATGCTACTATTTCCTGGTATGTACTATATGTGTGTACTTGTCTCTTCTTACGTACTGGCCTATCCGCACTCACCTTTACACCACAAATGCCAGATAACTAACACACCACAAGTCGGGGGCCAAGACACTGGATTTATAACAAGAACAGGCCTGGAGCCAGCTCGGAGACCCTAGGAAGTGAGGGAATCTCTTTGGGCCAGTTCCTTCTTTCTTCAGTGGCGGGAGGGAGGCAAGCAGCCAGGAAAGGAAGGAAAGAAGGAGAGGGAAAAGGGGAGATGAAAAATAGGAAAGGGCAGAATAGGAGGCAACAACCAATGTCAGAGGGGAAGGTTACAGCTGATTTGGGGCAACTTTCAATAGAAAACTTAACCTAACTGATTTGTAGATACATATTCCTAGACTCTTTCTTCTTCAATTTTTTTTATTCCTTTTTTAAATCTACTTTAAATCACTAAGACGTGGTCTTCCACATTTTACTGAAGTACTTAATAATTTACTTTGTTGTACAACCTGTGAAAGACCACGTACCCCCAAGAAAAGCAACTACACAGCCATGGCCCGTTTGCTCAATGGTTAGAGCTTCGGCCTGCAGAATGAAGGGTCCCAGGTTCGATTCTGGCCAAGGGCACGTACCTCGGTTGCAGGCTCGATCCCCAACCCCCATCAGGGTACGTGAGAAAGTCAACCAACCAATGTGTCTCTCTCACGTTGATGTTTCTCTCTCCCCTCTCTCCCCACCCTCTCCCCCCCCCACCCTGAAAAGCAATGGAAAAAATATCCTCAGGTGAGAATTAAAAAAAAAAAAAAAAAAAAAAAAAAA